AACCTCAACTGGCAAACTTCCTGCAGGTGCGAGCTACCCTGACCACACTCTTCCTGTTGCAAGCAGGAGAGAGAAATAACTTTAGCTTTTTAGCTTGCTCTCTATAAAATGGCTTTTAGCTTCTATAAAAATGCCTCTCCCAGTATTCCAAGGTAGACCCCTGGTCTCCATTCCTTCATGACCAGCTGCTCCCAGAAGCTAAAAATGAGTTCTGTATCAACAAAAGTTTTATCTAAAATTATTCATGATGACAAGTTGTAAGAAACATGAGATTTTAAACCCCTGAGCTTTTGAAATACAACTCCCATCAACCTTGGCCGTACGGGCTGAGGCTTATAAGAGTCGTTGCCCAACATGTGAGCAACCCCATGTTGGATATCCCTGCTCTATAACTTTATTGTTATTTATTTCATTTCTATACTGCTTTATATTTTTAAGAAAAACCTCAAGCGGTTTACAGCATATTAAATCAATAAAACATAAATAAAACAATTTGAAAAGAGTGAAATACAGTGGTGCCTTGGGTTAAGAACTTAATTGGTTCTGGAGGTCCATTCTTAACCTGAAACTGTTCTTAACTTGAGGTACCACTTTAGCTAATGGGGCCTTCCGCTGCCGCCGTGCAATTTCCGTTCTCATCCTGAGGTAAAGTTCTCAACCCGAGGTACTACCTCCAGGTTAGTGGAGTTTGTAACCTGAAGTGTTTGTCACCCGAGGTGTTTTTATCCCAACTTACTACTGTATAGAGTATACTGTCAAAGCAACATAACAGAAAACTAAAATATTACCTTAAAAGATTTCAAAGTAAAACATTACAAAGGAGGTCAACTACAGAATACAAATTTAACATAGTAGGGCTGGGTGACTCTGGGTCCCGCCCCCTAGGCCAGGTGGGAAAGGCCTTGCAGGGAGTGGCCTTCACGCCTCTCAGCCGGGTGATGTTCCTCCGGCCTCATGAGGATCCTCTCTAATGGGACCCAAGTGTGTTTAGGCTTGCAATTAACTTAATCTTCCCTAGATCTGCTTTTAGCAGAAGCATGTGCCACTTCCTCTTTTTTTTTAATAATAATATTTATTAAAAATTTTCAAATATAACAGAAAAAGAAAAACATCCAAATTTAAAACCTTATTTTCATTAGCATCTTTCCAGGACTTCCCCTCCCCTCCCCCTCTTGTATTCCAATTCTTTCAAATAAATTCAACAAATTCTTACCCCAAGTTTTAAACTTCTTATCATTGTCCCAATTTAAAAATATTTTCCCATCCCCTAAAATCGACCTGTTCCCTTCCACGAGTTCCCCTCTTTAATACAGATTTGAATAAAAAAATAAAAAAAGGAATAAATTGTAATTTAACATGCTTTGGATTCCAAATTTCCCTCCCCCCTTTCCCGGTTGCGTTCCCAATGTCCATCAATGTCTACTGTCGTTCTGGAGCTCCCACATCTAAGCCATAGTCCTTCACCAGTCCGCTTTGTCGTCTTTTAAATAGTCTTTGTCGTCTTTTGGTCATCTTTAATTTTGAATGTCCAATCTTGGAAGGAGTCTGTCTCAAAAAGGTCCATTTTTTTCCATCCAGATCTTTATATTTAAGAGTAAAACCTCCAATTTTATTCCTTTAGATCTTTCAAATCTGGATGTCCCAAATGTTCCCACTTCCACCTTTGTCCAGTTCTTGTTATTCTTGTTGTTCTTGTTGATCTCTCTCCTCCTTTTTTCCCCCCCTGTTCTTCTGCACAAATGTTCTAATTCCAAAAGCTTCTAATTCCTCTACAGAGGCTTTGTTATTCAGGAACAAAACATTACGTCAAGTCCCTTCCATTCTTCAATAGATAAATCCATTGTCTCCTTTAGTGTATAGACCTCTGTAGACAAAATAGTGTTCCACTTCTGCAGTTTCCCAGGAGATAAAAAGTCCTATTCAAATTCCATAGCAACAATACTTGTAGTGTCCCACAGCTCCTCTAGAGGGATTATAGTAACTCAGTTTCCTTCCAGATCACACCCAACAGTCAAAGTAACTTGTTATTCCTTGTTTTAAACAATTTATATCCAATTTGTAACAAATGTAACCGGCAAAGTCCTCGTAACAAAGTTCTCTTTTTGTTCTTCCACTTTGACAGCTCCTTTGACAGCTGTCAAAACCTCTATTTCTCCTCTCCCGGCGCTCTCACGGATTGCTCCCGGGGTTTCCGGGGGGGGGGGTGCATTTTAATTCACATTCCACTTTTCTCCTCCAGCCCAATCTTATACTTTTCCATCGCGAAATTGATAACTTTATCCAAATAAGGTTGCGCTCGATCTTAGTTGTCAAATCCTTTGCTTTAACTCCTCTACAACAGGGGGGAGGCTGACTTCCTTTTTGCACCTCCCCTGCTCGCTCCAGATTTAAAAAAAAATTTCCCCCCCCTTTTTAATCCGAGTTCCAATTACTCACGGATTATTCTTTTAAGTCCAAATTTTCAATGGAAGAAGTCAGCGCTCTCCGTCGAATGGCATGCGGCTTCGCTCGGCAGGGGAAGCGGAGGACTCATAGCACCCCCCCCCGTCACCCGCTCCGCAGCCTTTAAAAAAGGCTCCTTCGCGGGTCGGGGGGCAAACGGTGCCCGCCGAGTTACCATGCCCATGGGTTTCAGCACCCATGGTTTTTGAGGGTCCCCGCGTCGCCGGCGCGGTAGAACCCAGCCCCTGCCGAGCAGGCTCCCTCCGGAGCTCGGAGGGAGTCCGCCATTCGGCGATGGCGCCAACCCAGAAGTGAAGCATGTGCCACTTCCACTGCCCATCTTTAAAGTCAGAGTAGCAATCTGGGGACACGTTTTTTTTTAAAAAAAGAGAAAAGAAGTTATTTTTAAAAAGCTATTTTTAAAGAAAAATTAAGAAGTAATCTCTTCTGTGGTCTCCTCTGTCGCGCAGCCTTCCTCTGGACCCTGGCCTGCTTTCTTGGAGTGGAGTAGGCTCAGGTCGGACCTGGGTTTGGTCATGTGTCCTTGCCCTCCCAGTGCTCTCCTCCCTCTGCTCCTCAGCGGCAGCAGTGGCATGGCAAGGTCGGGGATCCCCTCTTTTTTATCCTTCCTCTTTCTCTTCCTTCTCCTTCTTCTCCCTGCCTTGTCTCCAGGGTTTTCCTGGCCCCGGAGCGCTGCTGGGCAGTTGGCCAGGTGCTCTCGCTCCTGGCTTGATTTGGGTCGTGGGGGGGTTCCTCAGCAGTGGAAGCGTCAGCGACAGTCTCAGCACCCTGGAGCCAGCCTGGTAGTGCAGTTGACTCTGGCTGGCTTCAGGAGCTGCTGCTGCCATGGCGCCCGCCATTTTGCCTTGCCAGAAGTCTCCATATGATGTGTCTTGTGCCGATGAAACAATCATGCAACATTCATTCCCTACTAATAAATGTACAACACTTAAAATATAAACCCGGGGACATTAAATGATATCCAGGGACATTCCAGGGGCGGATTTTGTCCGGGGACAGATTTGTAAATCCGGGGACTTTCTCCGGGAAATGGGGACGTCTGGTAACCATAGTTCAAGGTTGCAATTAACTTAATCTTCCCTACCCCAGATCTGCTTTTAGCAGAAGCATGTGCCACTTCCACTGCCTAGCTTCAAAGTCAGAGTAGCAACCACATGTATCCTATAAGCACGCTTGGCTCTTTCTGTTTGGCGTTGCTAAGGCTCTCCTCCCCCCGCCCCCTCTCATGAAACAACAGCCTCCTTTTAAGCACCCCGACAGGTATTTACATTCCCCCCACCATTGCTCTCATGGCACATGTGCGATACAGGCGCTTCACTCTAATGCCTCCTGAAGCATCTTACGCTCTGAGACAAAGGAGCGCTCTCCTGCTAAAAGCACACACGCTGATTACAGGCGTGTACTCAGGAGGAACAAGAACCAGCCTTGCGCAGAAAAAGCAGCACCCCTTGTAATTCTCTACCCTTATTCCCACCCCTGGCCTAGACCCAGGCCCACGCTTTCTCCCCTAAACCAAAACCTTACCGCAGTCTCCAGGTATTGTGCTGAGGAGAGCTGCACTGAGGCACAATGGTGGGAGCCTCTCAATCCCCCTTAATCTTCCTAGGAGCAGGACTGTATAGATTTGGAACAGTGGTTTGCAGAGGAACATAGTTCAGAAGGCAGAAGCCGGGAAATACTGGATGGGGAACAGCTTGAAGAAAAAACACTAGGGGAGAGAGAGGTAACTGATTCACTGTCTCTGTAAAGCATCCCTCTGCTTTCCCCAAGGTCAGAGAGAGCTGCAAAAGTGGCAGGACAGAAAGCACAGAGGGTGCAAGCCCAGGTTACAAGATGCAGAAGTGACATGGGTGACTAGGGATGTGAGGGGGTGGACTTATTCATTGGGAGCACCGCCATTTGTGTGAAGACGGGTTCTTTGTTCTCTTGCTGGAATCATTAAAGTTTCTAACAGGTAAGAAGAATCCTTTTCCTTTGTTCTGCTTATCTACGGCCAAGGGGGAAGGAAGCCAGTTCCCTGAAGCCTGACAGATGCTGATCCACAAGACAAGGGCAGCCCATCATTTTGGCAGTGAAGAGCGGAGGTCAAAACTCAACAGATTCATCAAACACCTTGAGCATTCCAGATTCACACTCTCCCCCTGTTTATCTAGCAACAACTTGCAACTTCTTTTGTACATATAGTATATGTGACCTTCATTACGTTAATACATATATATGTGTGTGTGTACAAATTTAAATACAAACACCAGAACATCACACGGGTTCCATGCATTTAAAATTGATTTCCGCCTTTATGAGTTTCTTGATGTGAAGTAAAGAGTGCACCTTGAGTGGAGCACGGCATACATTTATGGCTTTTCACCTGTGTGAATTCTCTCATGAATATTAAGGTCTCCACAAAGTCTGAAGCTCTTTCCACACTCCATACATTTAAATGGTTTCTGCCCTGTATGAGTTTGTTGATGTTTTCTAAGTGCTCCATTCTGACTGAAGCTCTTTCCACATTCAATGCATTTAAATGGCTTCTCCCCCGTGTGAGTTCGTTGATGTATTCTAAGGTTTCTACTTTCACTGAAGCTCTTTCCACATTCAATACATTTAAACTGTTTCTACCTCATTTGATTTCGTTGATGTATTCCAAGTGTTTGACTACAACTGTAGCTCTTTCCACACTCCATGTATTCAAATGGTTTCTCTCCTGTGTGAGTTTGTTGGTGTATCCTCATTCTTCCACAGTGACTAAAGCACATTCCACATTCCCTGCATTTAAATTGTTTCTTTGTTCTTCCCAATGAATTCACAGATGGCTCCATAGAATTCTGACCGTCCTCTTCCTCACCTATTTGGGAGTTGGGGGGGGGGAGAGAATACTGTTAGACATTTAAGAAAGACAAGAAAGAAACTGAACACACATCAATTCCCATGTGCACTTTCTCTTATTTTCACGTGCTCTCCATTCTCCACTGTCCTCTCTATGTTCCAAATTTTTAGGAATGCAGATGAGACAATGGCAATAGAAACCCATGATCACTCCATTCACACATAAGAGAGCAGCATCATTTTATAGTAAAGATCTACGGTGGAACTGGCTTATAAGACACATCTCTGTCCTTTTATTTTTCAAGTGAGGAAATGATCTCAGGCTCCAATAGAAGTCTCTCCTATGAGTAAGAAGTAAAACCGAAGTGCTCTTATGCCACATGTAACTGTAAAAATATTGCAATATATTAGAACCTAAGCAGATCCTTCTGCATTGGGTAAAGGCCCACCTAGTCCAGCACCCTGTTTTCACAGTAGCCAAGCAGATGCCTGTAGGAAACCAGCAAGCAAGATTTCAGCCCAAGAGCCCTCTGCCCTCCTGTGCTTTCCAGAAACTAGTATTAAGAAGCATTATTGCCTAGGACCACGAGGGCAGAGCACAGGCATCAGTCTAATCCCTTTTTTCAAGATATCCAACTTGCTGGCTGTCACTGTTTCCAGTAGGATAGAAGTCCATAGATTAACTATGCTTCTGTTTATTTCATCTTTTGGAGTCCTTAAAGGCTCATAAATGTATAATGGTCTAAGCTTTTGTCGGCTGCAGTCTGACAAAGGGGACACTTGGTTAGGAAAATATGGTGCCACTATAAACCCATGAGTCTCTTTGTTGGTTTTGTGCACTTAATTTGAAATTTGTACCAAGGTTGTACCACTGTATCTCCATGTAAGCTTATGGAGGGACAGAATTAGAGGCGCTCTATAAATTATTATCCCACTCACCCACTCTCACACATAACCCCTGGCTGTAAGACTGGCAAGTTTACACAATTTGCTTATAATACCGGCCACCCTTGGTCTTCATATGCCCAATCCTGTGTGCAGAGCCTCCAGCCAAAAACAAAGAGCTGCTTTGAAAAAAGCCTCACCCCTTCCTTCCTTCCTTCCTTCCTTCCCCTTCCTGCCTTTGGTCTCCTCTCCATCTTTTCCTCTTTCTCCCTCCACCATCCAGCCATCCATGTCCCCATCTCCTCTCCCCTGGAACTCACCAGATTTCTCTGAGGGTCCCGGGAGGGGATGATCAGAGGTTGTAGGGAGGGATGCAGGAGACAGCTTGAGCAGGTCAGCTGCCCATCTTCGTCCGTCCATCCTGACCAGGTTTGGACGTTCAACTTCTTGAGGAGCACAGAAGCCAAAGCAAGTTGTAGTTTCCTGGGAGGAAGGACAAAGTCAAGGGAGTCTCAGAGCTCCTGCAGGGATTCTGCCCAAGACATTCTGCTGCCCCTGTAGAAGCCCCTATTGGGCACCCGCTTCCCAAGAGCCTCCACCCATTTTCAAACACCTTTGGCAATTCCTTCCGTCTGCCTGTCCCTTCTCCCTTACCAAGGCTGGCATGGTATGGGAAGTAGTGGCCTTGTGGCAGTTGCCCAAAGGGCCACAATAAATGTGATAATGTGTACCCCTTTAAATCCTTGAGTGTGCTTCTAATACAGAAGTGATGGTAGTTTGTGCTTTATGAAACTGATTATTTTGCAACTTGCCGCCCCTCAATAGGGGCAAAAAATACAGCTAATAAGAGAATCACAAAGATACAGCTGAAAGGTAGAACATGAGTTGCTATATGATGCAAATGGCTGCATGTAACACAGGTTCCCAACATGCACACCAACACAACGTAACAGAACGTGGTAGGCATCAGAGCATATTCAGCAGAAATTGCCAGTGCTTGTTGTGCATGTGTATTATATAAAATGAGGTAATGATGAATATCAGGAACGTGGAACTCCAAAGGGACTTTTTCAAGGGGGGGTACATAACAAAAATTTAAATTCTTTTGGCAACAATAAACATTAAAACAAGGAACTGCTGAGCAAAAACAGAAACAGAAGCATGCACAGAAGTTCTTGCGGAAAGGGGGCGGGGCCTTCAAAGGTCTCACAATCGACCCAAACAACACAGAGGTCTACCTGTCAATTGCGGTCCAGCGCTTGGACATCTCTGATGTAAATGATTGGTGGAAACTGAAATTCTTTGTTTGACATTACATATATAAATACCACTGCCTGGAACACCAGACAGGGTTGCAGTTTTGTGAAACGATCCAGCTGTAACCTATTGCTTTGCAATAAACACAACTCATATCTCCTCTCGTTTCTAAGTTTATTGGCGTATACTCAGGAGATAAGCCATTTTCTCGCTTACGACAGCCTGAGAGTAAATCCCGTGGAACATACGGACTGCTCTGAATACATGGGTGGCCCTTGCATGGAGAAGGAAGCCCCTTCCTTGCATCTTGGCCCCCTGGGAGACACGGTGGATCCACCCACTGCTTCCTCTGCCCTCACTGCCTCCTCCTCTGTCCTCCTGCCCTGCAAACACCCTCTGCTCAGGAGAGAGGGGCAGAAAGAGCCTTCAAACCCATCTGTTTCCTCCTCCTCCTCCGCTGCCTTTTCTTGCAGCAGCCCAGTGAGAGGGGAAGGAGCCGCAGCTCCTGGTTCACTTCAGATACACACAAGGTTTACCGATGTTGTGAATGAACAAGACCTCTGCATTCCATGCAGTGGGAGTGGGGTGGCTTAAAAGTGGGGGAGAGACCTCCCCCTCCTGTCCTTTTGGGAAATAGGAGTCATTTCCATGAGTAAACAACTGAAATATACTCAGAGTCGCAAAGTGATTTCATGCTCTTTATTCAGCTCATAGTGGTGAGGAGGAATGAATGAAAGTCCCTTCAAGGTATCTGCTTTATATACATTATTTACACAATGGGCTGCACATGATTGGTGAATTCCGGAATTCTACTGTAAGCCAATCAGGTTGTGGATTCACTTCTATCTGGAGCATGATTGGGTAGTTCCTGCCAACCAATCATACTGCTGCATTGTTCTAGGACCAATCAGACTGCTGCATTCTGAATCCTATTGTTCTAGGACCAATCAGACTGCTGCCTTTTGGATCCTATTGTTCTAGGACCAATCAGACTGCTGCAGTTTGGAATCCTATTCAACTCAGTACATAACACAACTTAGATGGCAAATTCTCAAGAGAAGCACTTCGGAGCACTGCTTGCTTGCTCACGCTATGTGTGTTTGCACCTCAAGGACAACATGCATATTTACACCACGTGATTTCTTAAAGAGGGCATTTCTTTAAAATCGAAGGCCATTTCTACAAAAGACTTCAATGTTTGGTTGTTTTCGGTGTTTTTTATTTTGTTGGAAGCCGCTCAGAGTGGCTGGGGAAACCCAGACAATGGGCAGAGTATTATTATTATTATTATTATTATTATTATTATTATTATTATTTTATTGCGAGCCTTGCCAGCAATACTCAAATCTCACCACTTTCCCGCCTCCTTCCCTGCAACTCCCTTTGTACCAGATCCGGACAGGAGGAAGCTTCTCTCTTTCCACAGTGGAAACCCCTCCCCCCTCCACCTTCAAGGCCCCATTAAGAAAAACAGCTCCCTTTCCTCCCTTCTCTTCTTCTCCCCGTCCCGGGGCTTCATCCTGGACCCCCCACCCCTTGCCAAGCCCCTTCTCTCCTTCCCTGCCGCTGGCTTTGCACTCACCCGAAATCCTGGCGATGGTGGCAGCGACCCTGGGCAGCCGGGCAGGAATGGGAGCCCCCGCCTGGGAGGCAGGATATCTCCGGGGGATAATTGTAAGGGGAAAGCCTGGGCTTCCAGTACAGGGAACAGATGCTCCTTGCTTTAAGGGTTAAAGCCAGAGAGTGCACGCTGCTAGAGGGGAGGGTGCTGCTGCTCGATACTGGCTTGGGAAAGGGGGCTCGGCTTAAGCCGAGCCCCCTTTCCTTGCTAGGCCGTATTGCTGCTATAAAAATGAATGTATTGCCAAGAATGTTGTTTTTGTTTCAATAATTGCAAATTTTGGACAAAATGGACGGTTTCAAGAAGTGGCAGAGAGATATTTCCAGATTTGTCTGGCAGGGCAAGAAGCCCAGAATAAAATTTAAAATACTAACTGATGCAAAAGAAAGAGGTGGATTTGCCCTGCCAGACCTTAAACTTTATTATGAATCAGCAGCATTTTGCTGGCTGAAAGAATGGCTTGCTTCTTGAGACCACAGACATTTTGGAATTAGAAGGTTTCAATAATGTATTTGGGTGGCATGCATATTTGTGGTATAACAAGGTCAAAGCACATAAAGCATTTAAAAACCATATTGTCAGGAAAGCATTGTTCATTGTCTGGATAAGATATAAAGATTTGCTTGAAAATAAAACCCCAAGGTGGCTATCACCGATGGAAGCGAAGGCTCAGAAAAAGCTCAATATGGAGGCCAAATGGCCGAAATATTGGGAGATTTTGGAACAAGAAGGAGATAAATTGAAATTGCAGAGTTTTGAGAAACTAAAGATAAAGTGCGAGATTGGCTCTATTATTATCAAATAAGGGAGGCTTATAATCTGGACAAGAAAATTGGCTTCCAGGTAGAAAAATCAAAATTGGAAACAGAACTGTTAGATCCCAAAACTAAGATATTATCAAGAATGTATAACTTGCTGTTGAAATGGAATACTCAGGATGAAACGGTGAAATCTGCTATGATAAAATGGGCACAAGATGTCGGACATAACATTATGTTGGCTGACTGGGAACAGTTATGGACCACAGGTATGAAATTTATGGCATGTAATGCCTTAAGAGAGAATATTATGAAAATGATATGTATAAATATAAATTTGAGAAATGCATAATCTAAATTATAACTATGGATGATTTACGGAACAGCTGAGGGAAGTCCTAAAAAAGAAATAAGTTGTGAAAAACGATGTGAAATTAATATGTCAAGCTTGCAAAAATCTACCATTTGCCTGATAATAAATGTTGGAAATGTAAAGAAAATGAAGGTACATTCTTTCACCCCGGTGGACGTGCCCAAAGATCAAGGCTTTCTGGGAGATGATATATAATGAAATGAAAAAGGTATTTAAATATACCTTCCTGAAGAAACCAGAGGCCTTTCTCTTGTGCATGGTCCGCCAATTGGTGTTAAAGAAGGATAGAACTTTTTTATGTATGCTACAATAGCAGGAAGAATACTCGTTGCAAAGTATTGGAAGACACAAGATCTACCCACCCTGGAAGAATGGCAGATGAAAGTTATGGACTATATGGAATTGGCGGAAATGACCGGCAGAATCCGAGACCAGGGAGAAGAGTTGGTGGAAGAAGATTGGAAGAAATTTAAAGACTATCTACATAAACACTGCAAAATTAATGAATGTTAGAATGATGTTGGCATGAAGTTAAGTGGTTCTAGCAGCAATGTTATAAAGGAGTATGTAAAAATGGATTGCTATCAGATGAGAATGTAAATATATAATACATTCAGGTAGAGGAATAAGATAAAAACAAGGAGGGAAAAGATTTGCTGATTTAACTAACTGAACTGGAATACAAAAAAGGGAGGTGTGAGGAGATCAGGGAAACAAGTAAACGAAAGATAATATGAAAAGATTGATTTGATTTTAATTGTTTTTTGCTTTTCTGTATTTTGTAATTTTTCTTTTCTCTCTCTCTTTTTTTCTTATTTTGCAACTTTTTTGTAATCTTTCTTGAAACTTTAATAAATATCTTTTAAAAAAAGAAGACTCCCTGGAAAAGACTCTGATGTTGGGAAAGATGGAGGGCACAAGGAGAAGGACGACAGAGGACGAGATGGTTGGACAGTGTTCTCGAAGCTACAAACATGAGTTTGATCAAACTGCGGGAGGCAGTGGAAGACAGGAGTGCCTGGCATGCTCTGGTCCATGGGGTCACAAAGAGTCGGACACGACTAAACAACAACATACAAACATGTGCAATCTCTTAACAGGTAGAAAAAACAAAATAATAGAAAATAGAAAATTTATAAAGAAAGAAAAAAATAAAGAATTAACAAAGATAAGAAACCAAGAAATAATAGTAAGGAAAAAAGACAAAGTTATTTAAATAGTAAAACTACTCATCGACACAATCATTCCCATCCCGCTCATTCTACTGTTTGATATAACATTCTTTTTTACACAGGCTTACATTATATAATACCATTTCTTTCTGCTTTGTATACATTCCTTTGATATTTTTCTTTACAAATATCATTCAATTTCTGCTCATATGGAGTTATTTGTACAATAAAGTTTTACATAATTCTGAAATATTATCCATTCTCTAGTTGTTTTTGTTTCCATATTCCTCTAACTGATCTCGTCAGTTTTGCTAATTGTAGATATCATAACATGAGTATCTGCCAATCTGTAATCTCTGGGAGCATTTCATTTTTCCAGCTCCTTGCTATAAGGGTTCTAGCTGCTGTTATACCATACATAAACAATGATATTATAACTTTTTAAATTTCTGATGGTAATATACCAAGTAGAAAAATCTTTGGGGATTTTTTTTAAAAGTAATTTTAAATAGTTTCTTAAACTCGTTATAAATATCATTCCAGTATTTGCCAATGGCTACACAGGTCCACCACGTATGATAGTATGACCCCTTCTTTTTTTTTACATCTCCAACAGGTTGATGTTTTCCCTTTATACATTTTAGCAAGCTTTTTGGGGGTAAGATGCCATCTATATACCACTCCCTGCAAGGCCTTTCCCACCCAGCCCTACTATGTGAAATATGTATTCTGTAGTTGACCTTTGTAATGTGTTGTTTTGAAATCTTGAAGATAATAGTTTAGTTTTCTGTTACGTTGCTTTGACCGTATACTCTATATTTCACATTTTTCACATTGTTTTATTTATCGTATTTTTCGCTCTATAACACGCACCCAACTATAACACGCACGTAGTTTTTAGAGGAGGAAAACAAGGGAAAAATATTCTAAACGAAACAGTGGATGTATGATTTTTGTGGTTCATTCTGTGGCCACAGACATGTGATCTGATGGTGAGTTTGGGGTAGCCCAATGCAAAAATTCTGAGGATCCATGTGGAGCTGTGCTTTGTAACCACGTTTTAAGTGGGGAGGGAAGGAAAGCACTCAAGGGACAAGGAGCACGTGTGGAGTGTGTGGAGAAGGATGCTGCTAATCATGCAAAGAGGGGGAGAAGGGGAGAAGGCCCCTCTCCTCTCCCTCTTTGCTCCTTTAAAGCAAGCAGGCTCTGCTTTTCTCCCTCCTCCCCGGCTCTTCCCCCCGGCTTAGCGAGCTGAAAATCTTTCCTGCTATTTAGCGAGCTGAGTGTTGAGGAGAGAGGGACAGAGAGCCTGCTTGCTTTAAAGGAGCCAACCGGACACTCGTGTAAGCGGCTCCTCTCCTCTCCCGCTTTGCTCCTTTAAAGAAACAGCCTCTCTGTCCCTCTCTCCTCCCCTCTCAGCGGCTCTTCTCCCGCTTTGCTGTTTCAAAGCGAGCCACGGAGGAGGGAAGCATTCGCTCCGTAACACGCACAGACATTTCCCCTTACTTTCTAGGAGGGGAAAAATGTGTGTTATGGAGCGAAAACTACGGTATGTTTTATTGATTTAGTATGCTGTAAATCGCTTTGAGGTTTTTCTTAAAATTATAAAGTGGTATAGAAATTAAATAAAAGAAGTATAGAGCAGGGATATCCAACATGGGGTTGCTCAGATGTTGGGCAACAACTCCCATAAGCCTCAGCCCAGATGGTCAAGGTTGATGAGAGGTGTAGTTCAAAAGCTCAAGGGGGGGAAATCTCACCCGTATACAATCCCGTATACAAATAGCCAATTCAATTTCCTAGCTGCCAGCCTTTATGTGGCCAAAATGGAACCCTTCTTCCAAGGAAGAGAGGGAGGTACCAGTAACCTTGAGGCAGCTCCATTGGTTACGTAAATCCAATAAATTTTTAGGTGGGGGTGGGGGGAAGATAGCCAAAGCCACGCAATGAGAACTGCACATGCTCAGTGGATACAGAAAACTGGCTGTGGGGGTGGGGCGCTGGTGGACAGCAGGAATGGAAAACTGGAGAGGGATGGATAGCAGTGGAGTGTGCTGGAAAAGGGAAATGTTTTGGATCAGAAGCACTCAGTGCCTCAGCATTTTCATCCATGTCTTTACTGGACAGGCTGCTCTGGTGCACTGGAGACAGAGAGAGTACCTTGCCTTCAACTTCTTCTCAATGCCAGCATCCCCCTTCCTTCATAGCCATAGATGACGATTGCTGAGCCTGATAGGGGTTGTAATTCAGCAACATCTGGAGGGCCAGATCTCTAGCTAGCGATTGACCTGTGGGAATGTTTAGAAAGGCAGGAGAGGATATATTATTTGATGATATCCATACTAACTTGCGTTAACAACTTGCTGTACGCTTGTTGCAGGTTCATCTGAGCCTCACTATTTAAGATTCCTGATAAGATCCCTTGTTATCCCTCTTTAAAAGTGTAGACACGACAATCTTATTAAAATCAATATACAGGTAGTTTATTCATTTTCATTCAGTTCACAATTAGATTCCTGAAGGCAGGCTTAAGTTACAAAAGTATATCTATATCTATACATAAACTATAATCTAAGGGAGTTAGTCCCAAGTGATTGCGACTCAGCAGTCACTTTTCCTATGTTACAGGAAAAATCCGAGGGCTCCCTTGGACAAAACAAAGACACCAACCAGGATAACTTGGAGCAAAACAGCAGCCTGTAGGCTTGGCCTTTATTGAACTGTTGCAACGGGGTATTCCCCTCACTTGCAGGAGAGAGGAAAGACCCAGAAGAATAGTGTGCAAGGTCTTATAAAAACTTTTGAAATTCCCCTCCTCTAGGTCTAGCCCACCCCCAGAAACATCATGCATACATTACAGAAAGGAGGGGCTGAGGGAGGAGTTGGTGGTAACCTGAGTGTCTTGTCACCTGGCTGGTTCCTCCTTTCCCCCTCCCCTTCCAGGAACTTCTAGGAGACAAAGGGGAATTTGCAGTTTCCTGCCCCCTGAGGGAAGATCTGATCAGTGTCCTTTGTTTCAGTCCATGCTGAATCCACTCCCATATGCAAGTTATTTGTGATCTTGATTGTCTTCTGTCTGGGATCATCAGGGTTGGCATGGGCAGGGCTCCTGTGTATGTGCTGAGACAGTGAAGGGATTATGGCTGACCAGGACTAAGTCACCCCCCTTTGTTAGTTCTTGTCATATGGAGTAAAATAAAAATGGAACAGTGCAAATCCAATGTATGGTTGATTTTCTATGAATTCATAACAGAAATGTGGCGTGTGTGTGTGTGTGTGAAGTTTATACAAACAGAATGATTGGGGTGGGGGGTTCCTGCTACACCTAACAGATAGAAAAAAACAAAATGGAGAAGAAAGAATGAAGCACACGAGCATTGTGCTCCTCCACCCAGAATAGGCGACACCTATTTCAAGTCACATGTAGAGGAAGCTCTTGTCCCAGCTCAGGAAGAAAGAGGAAGTTTTCTCTTTTTTTTATAATAATTTTTAATGATTTTCAAAACAGACAACAAACAAAACAAAAGAGAACAAACACACCTCAAAAGACAAATACATACAAATAAAATTTGACTTCCCCATACCTCCCTTTCACTGCATCCTTATTTTGCCATTTTTTAGCAACCCTTCAATCAATTTTTCTAATTAACTCTCTTTAGATTTTCTTAACATTATCATTTACAGCTGTAGTTCTCTGTTTCTTACCCCTTAACATCTTATCAATCCACAATTTTACAACAATTTTTAAGATATACTTTAAATTTTTCCCAATCCTCCTCCACTGTCTCTTTCCTCTGGTCGCGGATTCTGCCGGTCATCTCTGCCAGTCCCATAAATTCAGTCACCTTCGTCTGCCATTCTTCCAGAGTAGGTAGTTCTTGCATCTTCCAATACTTTGCCAACAGGATTCTTGCTGCTGTAGTTGCATACATAAAGAATGTCCTATCCTTCTTTGGTACCAATTGGCCGACCATGCCCAAGAGAAAAGCCTCCGGTTTCTTTGCAAATGTCCACTTAAGGACTTTCTTAATTTCATTATAGATCATTTCCCAGTAGGACTTAATCTTTGGGCAGGTCCACCAAAGGTGATAGAAAGTTCCTTCAGATTCCTTACATTTCCAGCAATTATTATTGGGCAAATGATAGATCTTTGCAAGCTTGACTGGGGTCATGTACCACCTGTAGATCATTTTCATTATGTTCTCTTTCAAGGCACTACATGCCGTAAACTTAATACCGGTGGTCCATAACTGTTCCCAGTCAGCGAACATAATGTCATGACCGATGTCCTGTGCCCATTTAATCATAGCTGATTTCACCGTTTCATCCTGTGTGTTCCATTTCAGCAGCAAATTATACATTCTGGACAGATTCTTAGTATTGGGTTCTAACAATTCTGTTTCTAACTTTGACCTCTCCTTCTGAAAACCTAGTTTCCTGTCTTGCTTAAATGTCTCATTTATCTGATGGTAATGTAGCCAATCTCGAACTTTATGCTTTAGCTTCTCGTAACTCTGAAGTTTTAACTTTTCACCATCTTGTTCTAAAATTTCACAATATTTTGGCCAATTAGAGTCCATATTAAGTTTTTTCACTGCCTTAGCTTCCATTGGTGACAACCACCTGGGGGTTTTACTTTCCAGCAAATCTTTGTATCGGTTCCAAACATTATACAATGCTTTCCTAACAATATGGTTTTTAAAACCTTTTTACACCTTTGCCTTGTCATACCATAAATATGCGTGCCAGCCAAAATTATTGTCGTACCCTTCCAGATCCAAAAGAGGAAGTTTTCTCCTGGGTGGCACAAAGCATCCCCTAGCATGTCCACTCTAGGAATGTTGTACTTCACTGCTACGAATTTCATATCCCACAGACCCACGCTCCTCCTGCCCACTGACCAGAAAAGTCATGTCCCCCACAAAAAAAGCCCACCCTGAGATTCCTCCTTCTTTCGCTCTCCAATTTTATAAATTGCTTAATAAAAAATTGTGGTGTTGCCCTCATTGTGAATAAGTGAGTTTCATAGACACAGAATGAAAGAGTTGGAAGGGACCAAGAGGATCTTCTAGCCGAACCCCCTGCAATGCAGGAATCTTTTGACAAGGTGGGGCTCGAACCCACAACCCCGAGAGTCTCATGCTCTACCAACTGAGTTATCCCAGGACTCGGATCAAATTCAGCTGGTAGGATTGCAATGAATCGGGAGCAAAGCTTTTGTATGAATATATTACCTCAAGTTATTCTGATGCTTCCAAATGCACTGGTACAAATAAATTTTAAGACTGAACAAGTGGTATTATTATTATTATTATTATTATTATTCCCCAGCCAATTTGGGCGGCTTCCAGCAAAATATAAAAACACAATAAGACAACAGACATTAAAAACTTCCCAATTCTGCTTATTTGACAGAAGCCGACAAATTTAGTTTAGATGCTCTATATCAACTCAATGACAGAACCAGGCAGAGGGCCTTCTTGGTAGTGGCACCCGCTCTGTGGAATGCTCTCCCGTCAGATGTCAAGGAAATAAGCATCTATCTGACTTTTATAAGACATCTGAAGGCATCCCTATATGGAGAAGCTTTTAATGTTTGATGTTTCATTGGTTTTTTTAAAATATTCTGTTGGGAGCTGCCCTAGTAGCTGTGGAAACCCAGCCAGATGAGCGAGTATAAATAATGTTATATTATTATTATTATTATAACGTATTATTATCATTATGACACCCAACTCTATCTGTTGATGGATGGCCATCCTGACTCGGCCCCAGACACACTGATCAGATTTTTGGAAGCTGTGGCTGGATGGTTACGCGGGAGCTGGTTGAAGTTAAATCCTTCGAAGACACAGGTCCTTTGACTGAGTTGGGACGATAGGGGATTGGGAGCGGCAACTCCAATCTCTTGCGAGGGCACAATTAGTGCCAGCACTGTTCGTTAAGAGTTTGGGTGTAATCTTCGACACCTTTCCATGGAGGTGCAGACTGCAGCTATAACAAAGGCGGCATTTTTTCATTTCCGCCAAGCTAAGCAGTTGACTCCTTACCTCTCTCGCCCTGACCTATCCACTGTGATCCACGCAACGGTCACCTCCAGACTGGATTTTGGTAACTTGCTCTACATGGGGCTGCCCTGGAGACTGACCCAGAAAGTCCAGCGGGTGCAGAATGCCGTGGCGAGACTCCTTACGGGGTCCTCCCTGTGGGATCACATTCACCCGGTACTATACCAGTTGCACTGTCTCCCGGTGGAGTACAGGATCAGATTTAAGGTGTTGGTTTTAACCTTTAAAGGCCTATACAGCCTAGGACACTCGTACCTACAGGACCACCTCTCCTGGTATGTCCCAAAGAGGACCTTACAGTCTTCAAACAAAAACATCTTGGAGGTCCCGGGCCACAGAGAGGTTAGGCTGGCCTCAACCAGAACCAGGGCTTTTTCGGCTGTGGCTCCGATCTGGTGCAACGCTCTGGGCTAGGGCCCTGCGGTACTTGACATCTTTCCGCAGGGTCTGCTAGACAGAGCTGTTCCACCAGGCCTTTGGCCAAGGCACAGCCTGACACCCTCCCTTGGCAATCCTCACAAAACTCTAGCCCAATGGTTGCCATTAATCTGATGTGAACTGATTTTATAATGAAATGATTTTAGAATGTTGTATCATTTTACTGTTGTTAGCCGCTCTGAGCCCAGCTTCGGCTGGGGAGGGCGGGATATGAATAAAATTTTATTGCTATTATTTTTATTATTATGCTTAATTGATAGCAGTTCCCGGAAGCCGCCGGAGGGAAGAGATGCACTTGGGCTCCAATCCTCCTTGCAGGCTTGGCCACTATGAGGAGACAGTGCTGAGATTCCTGCATTGTAGGGGGTTAAACTAGATGACTCTCAGGGTCCCCTTCCATCTCTACGATTCTATGATTCTAACAGGGTGCGGGACTAGATGGGCTTGATCAAACTACAGGGCTCTTCATAGAATCATAGAGGTGGAATATACCACAAGGGCCATCGAGTCCAACCCCCTGCCAAGCAGGAAACACCATCAGAGCACTCCTGACATATGGTTGTCAAGCCTCTGCTTAAAGACCTCCAAAGAAGGAGACTCCACCACACTCCTTGGTAGCAAATTCCGCTGTCGAACAGCTCTTACTGTCAGGAAGTTCTCCCTAATGTTTAGGTGGAATCTTCTTTTTTGTAGTTTGGATCCATTGCTCCGTGTCTGCTTCTCTGGAGCAGCAGAAAACAACCTTTCTCCCTCCTCTATGTGACATCCTTTTATATATTTGAACATGGCTATCATATCACCCCTTAACCTCCTCTTCTCCAGGCTAAACATTCCCAGCTCCCTTAGCCGTTCCTCATAAGGCATCGTTTCCAGGCCTTTGACCATTTTGGTTGCCCTCCTCTGGACACGTTCCAGTTTGTCAGTGTCCTTCTTGAACTGTGGTGCCCAGAACTGGACACAGTACTCCAGGTGAGGTCTGACCAGAGCAGAATACAGTGACACTATTACTTCCCTTGATCTAGATGCTATACTGCTATTGATGCAGCCCAGAATTGCATTGGCTTTTTTAGCTGCCGCGTCACACTGTTGGCTCATGTCAAGCTTGTGGTCAACCAAGACTCCTAGATCCTTTTCACATGTACTGCTCTCAAGCCAGGTGTCACCCCTCTTGTATTTGTGCCTCTCATTTTTTTTGCCCAAGTGCAATACTTTACATTTCTCCCTGTTAAAGTTCATCTTGTTTGTTTTGGCCCAGTTCTCTAATCTGTCAAGGTCGTTTTGAAGTGTGATCCTGTCCTCTGGGGTGTTAGCCACCCCTCCCAGTTTGGTGTCATCTGCAAATTTGATCAGGATGCCCTTGAGTCCATCATCCAAGTCATTGATAAAGATGTTGAATAAGACCGGGCCCAAGACAGAACCCTGTGGCACCCCACTAGTCACTCTTCTCCAGGATGAAGAGGAACCATTGATGAGCACCCTTTGGGTTCGGTCAGTCAGCCAGTTACAAATCCACTGAGTGGTAGCATAGTCAAGACCGCATTTTACCAACTTCTTTACAAGAATATCATGGGGCACCTTGTCGAATGCCTTGCTGAAATCAAGGTAGGCTACATCCACTGCGTTCCCTTCATCTACCAGGCTTGTAATTCTGTCAAAAAACGAGATCAGGTTAGTCTGACATGACTTATTTTTCAGAAATCCATGCTGACTATTGGTGATCACAACATCCCTTTCTAGGTGCTCACAGACTGTTTGCTTAATGATCTGCTCCAGAATCTTCCCTGGTATTGATGTCAGACTGACTGGGCAGTAATTATTTGGGTCCTCTCTTTTCCCCTTTTTGAAAATAGGGATAACATTTGCCCTCCTCCAGTCTGCCGGGACTTCGCCTGTTCTCCAGGAATACTCAAAGATGACTGCCTTCAT